CGCTTTTTTGTTTTCTATCCACATTTGCTTATCAAAAAAAAATACCCAGACCTCCCAATGGAATTGGCCTGCACACTTGATCCCAACGAACAAGATGATACTTGAACTCGTCCCCCCGTCCACCCCAAAGGAAGTTTCGTTGCAGTCTTCCAATCCTTTCAACTACCGAGACGGGAATTTGAAAAGGGGATAAAAAGTAAGTAGGTAGACTCGACAGTGTACTCTTCAAAAGAGTAACCTTCCCACCATTCGAAAGATACTGCTTCTTCCAACCAGCCAGTCTCCTTTCAAATCTCTCAATCACAGGATCCCAACCTCCCACCTTCCTTGACGGAGCACCCAACGGCAAACCCAAATAGGAGAAAGGAAAAAAGCCCACCCCACACCCAAGAACTGCAGCAAGAGATGCAGTATACTGAACCTCCCCTACAGGGACAAGCATGCTCTTTCCTACATTAATATTCAACCCAGAAACTGCCTGAAAAAAAACCAAGACACAACTCAAATATCTCAGCTGGGCTACATCAACATCACAAAAAACCAAGGTATCATCCGCAAACAGTAAATGAGAGATCTCCATCTGATGATCCAAGTCTCTACCGACCCTAAAGCCCCTGATAAATCCCAGATCCACTGCCCTTCCCAACAAGCTACTGAGAGCCTCCATAATAATAAGGAATAAAAATGGAGATAGAGGATCATCCTATCTCAAACCCCGAGAGCTACCAAAAAATCCGTAGTAGATCCGTTCACCAGCACAGAGAATCTAACAAAGGAAATACAAACCTCAATCCACCTCCTCCATCTCACTCCAAAACCCAACCTCCCTAGCAGATACAACAAAAAGCTCTAACTGACATGACCGCCTTCTCGATATCAAGCTTGCACAAAACTCCCGGTTCACCGCTGCTCTGTCTAGAATCCACACACTCACTAGCAATAAGAACAGAGTCAAGAATCTATCGACCACCAATAAAAGCGTTCTGAGACTCGAAAATAACCCCATCTAGCACCACCCTCATTCTCAAAGCAAGGATTTTAGCAATAAGCTTATAAATACACCCCACAAGACTTATCGGTCTAAAATCCTTAATATCAGTAACTCCACCCTTCTTAAGGATGAAGGCAATGAAAGAAGCATTCAACGACTGCTCAAGCCTCCCGTGAGAATAAAACTGCTACAAAGTGCCCATAACCTCACTCCTAACCACTTCCCCAACTCTCAAGCAGAAATCTCATAGTAAACCCGTCCGGTCCCGACGACTTATCACCATTGTAGCTCTTCAAAGCCCCCAACACTCCTCCTCAGAGAAAGGAATCTCTAGCCCATCCCTCTCCAACACAGAGATAGAATCAAAATGAAGACCACCAAGCCTGGGTCTCTAACCGACAATCTCAGAGTAGAGCCTCTGATAGTAGGAAACAATCCCCCTACCCATGTCCTCCTCCCTACACATCTCCACTCCATCCACATAAATCTGCCCAATATGGTTGCCCCCTCCTATGGGCATTAGCAAGCCTATGGAAGAATTTCGTATTGCGATCTCCCTCTTTGAGCCATAAAGCCCGGGATTTCCGCCACCATGAAATCTCCTCCATAATGGCAATCTCTACCAACTCCGCCTAACTTTCTACTCTCCAGGAACACTGAAAATCCACAATACCATCCACCCCTTCCAACCTATCAATCTCAGCAATATCGGCTAGCGCCCTGTTCTTCCTCCATTCTAAGTTCCCAAACACCTCCTTATTCCATCTTTTGATCTCATTCTTCGGGAAGCGAAATTTCCCAGCTAAAACAAAACTCTAAAAACGGACCACCGGAGCCTCCTCCCACTAGGACCGAACTCTATCCCGAAAGTTGTCAGCTCTGAGCCACATATTCTCGAATCTAAACGGGGATCTTCGAGCTCTCAATCGCACACAATCCAAAACCAACGAAATGTGATCTGAAGTCACCCTAGCCAAAGCTGCCTGAACAACATCCATAAACTTCTCCTCCCAATTCCCTGTAATCAAGAATCTATCCAACCTAGAAAGAGTAGGCGAAACCCTGCCACTAGACCACGTGAAGACCGCTCCCTCCAAGGGTAAATCGATAAGATGATGACCATCAATAAACTTCAAAAATTGGGCCATAGTCATTGTCCAACTCCCACCAGTAGATCTCTCTATCAGGGACCTTACAACATTAAAGTCACCACTCACACACCAAGGAAGTGACCACAACCCTGTCAACCCCTTCACAAAACTAAGCTCCTCCCAAAGCAACTGTCTCTCGCCATCATCCACCAGCCCATACACCCCAGAGAAAGCCCATCTAAAACCGTCCTCCTCCAAATTAAACACGCAAGAGATAGAGAACGTCCCTCTCTAAATACCCACACGCGTCAACCATCTCCTATCCCACATGACAAGGATACCACCAGAAGACCCTAAAGCATCCAACGCCACACATTCCACAAACCTACCTCCCCAAAGGCTCCTGGCCACCCTATATGACATAGAAGCAATCTTGGTTTCTTGTAAGCACATCACATGAGCCCCCCACTTTCTCACCACCAACTTAATCACCTTCCTCTTGTCCTGGTCATTTAGTCCACAGACGTTCCACGAAATAAATCTGAGCTTCATAAGGAAACAAAGTCATTCACCTCCCCTCCACTCCTCCCTCTTCCTTTCTCCCTCACCGACCCCTCCTTCCCCGCATAATTCATGTAACAAATAAGATTCTTCACCTCCCTCTCCCCTTTCCATGAAGGGGGGTTCAAGAAGGAACCTTCAAATACTTTAATCGAAGAAAAAGCATCCAAAGGTTAGAGGTCCAAGCAGATCTAAAAGAGTAGATAGCATAAAACTTGGTAATTTGAATGAAAACACAAGTTAGGATCTTCATTTCCCCTTCCTTTTCTTTCTAGACATGAATCATGATCAAGTTTTATTTTCCTCTTTTCTCTATTTTGCATGCATAATCTTTGCTTCTACTCCTCTTTTTATTTTTCTATCTTTTAAGACCATGCATGTGTGCAAAACCCCCATTCTCCGGACTCCAACCAAAGCGACTCTGGAGACTCTCGCTGTGAGTAACTATGGGAGATTGAAACACATGCTAAGTGAAACAAAATAGTTATACCTAGCCTACCTGATTTCAACCTTAGAATCATTTAGATCACTTTTTACATTTTCAGATTCCTTGTATTTTTTTTTTTTTTTTGATAAGTAAATTGTATTAAAAGCGTTCAAAAGGGGAACGCGTCCCAAACTATACAAAGACAAAACGGAGCCTATGAACTCAAAGAGCTCATAAAATCAACAATATCCTCAAGAGAGGAGTAGTCTCTCCCCTGACCCCAACAAAACAAATTACAAATGATAGAAAATTTTAACACCCCAATGGAGGATTCCTATCCCTCAAAAGATCTTCCATTACGCTCTCTCCAAAGGCTCCATCAAATACAAAAAGGGATCACCCTCCAAAAAACTCTGGCCTGAGCCCCCACCCATTGGCCCCTCCATATATCTAACAACTCCCAAGATGACCGAGGCATGACCCAATGAATACCAAACAGGCCAAACATCAAACTCCAACAAACATGAGCCACAGGACAGTGCAACAAAAGATGATCCACCGACTCCCCATTAATCTTGCAAAGACAACACCTATTAACAATGATATGCCTTCGCTTCCTCAAATTGTCCAAAGTCAAAATCTTACTTCAAGCTGCAGTCCACACAAAAAAGGCCACCCTAAGAGGCGCCTTAGACCTCCACACCGTCTTCCATGGGAATGGATTCCTTGTATTTTTTAGACCATTTATTACATCGGAACATCCGTCCCTAAGCCAAAACTCTGCCGGATTTTTGATAGACTTAATTTATGTATGATCATGGGTACTGTGTGTGTGTGTGTGTGTGTGTGTGTGTGTGTGTCAAATTTTGGTAGGAATTCCAGAATACTTAAGAGTAAGTTTAATTTTGGGGTTTTGGCATATTTAGACTCTCCACGATGCCAATGACCTTATGCCGTAACCAAAACTCTGCCGGATTTTTGGTAAAGTGTATAAAATAATCAAAATTGGTCAAACTGCGTATAGTAGGAATTCCCATATATTTTGGTATATTTTTATAAGCTTTTTAAGTAGATGTTCACTTCTGCGTTTTAGATTCTGTCCCCATTACAGTTTAAGAATTTGACATCAAGACAAAGCTCGGTGACTCTGTCGGAATTTCGGTAGAGTCTTTAAGAATTGTCAAAATTGGCATTTTAGTTTTTATTTATTTATATTCATCAGTGTTTTAAGGACTTTCAGCATTTATAAAGTCAATTTTTCCTATGAAAAAATCACTTTTATTGCTCTCACCAATCCTTTAGGATGTTCCTTACTTCAAAAGTCCACCAGAATTACTGTAAAGCACTAGGCTCGCCATTGCAACAGCTTTTGGCTATGTTACCACGACTCTCCTATTTTCCTCAACGTACCTGTATCGAGACAACACATCATGTGTATGGATATGGAATATGTGTCCGACAGACTACCCAAATCAGACACCTAGAGCCTTGTATTGTGATGGCGGAAGAAGAAAAGCTCAAATTTGATAGAAACCATTAACCAGGAATTAAAGATTTCAAGCGCTCTTAAACAAGCCACAATATTTAATTTTCCACATGGAACTTGTGGGGGAAAAAAAAAAGAGAGAGAGAAAACTACTAGTCTTCTCTTTTCTACTCACCACAAATGTTCAACATTAGAAAGAGATGAGAGGGACAACAAAAGAAGTCAATAACTAAAAGTTTCAAATATGATGCAAACACTTTTATGAAATAAATGGTGGTAAAAGAAAAAAGAAAGGGGAAATTAAAATAAATAAATAAATAAAACCTAGAGCCTTACGTGAACATGGAAAAATAATTTACACGTGTGATTCCCCACAAAAGCAGCATTTCCAACACAAATTGGAGAAAAAGAAAATAAAAAAAAGGGAAGAAGAAGAATGTGTACCTTGAGCAAGCCCAGGTGATGGGCAGTAGCTTTGTTCTTTTGAGTCCTTGCCATCTGGAACAAACAACAATGTAAAATTCAGATTTATACTTGAATAATTTAAGTTAACATTGTTACCTAGGATCCAAATATGTTTCTCTTAAGAATTCAATTTTTCAATTCAATGATAGATTGTGTGATTACATCATCAATATGGTTCCTTTCTATTGGAAGCGTGAGCATGAGAAACACAACTTCAAAAAATTAAGACTGCTAGGTTCTCAGTAATAATGATAAAAGAAGTATCCTAAAAAAGTTGGGAAGCATTTTTGCGAATTTCTTTTTTGTTTCTAATTTATTCAAATAAAAGAAGATAGGTAGAAGAAACTTTAGTTTCTTTGTTCTCTAATATAACAATCCAAACACTTGTACTGAATAGGTTACTATGTATGCTACAAAAAGCAAAAATATATAATTACTCAATATGTATACTTACATCAACCACTATGATTGCACCATTTACGGTATTGAAATGGAGCCCACAATAAATGCTGCAATCATAGGAAAAAAAAAAACCAACAAACATCCTGACTTTTCCTCCCAAGAACTCAAAGTGAGCTTTGGGTGGCTACTGGTTAGCATACAAATTCTGCTAACTTTTCCTATGATAGGCGTAACTCCATACAATTGCAGAATATTCAGGTAAATCTGTAATACTTGGTAGAACGATGTGCCAAAATTCATGTAAATCTGTAATATTGGCTAATGATCTCACTTCTTCACTTCTTAATGCCTAGTACAATTCGTGTGTGGGCATGTTTCTAATGAGTAGACACCTACATGCCTCATAAGAAACTTAAATATTTTCAACATTTAATTTCGCTGAATTGGACAGGAGAAGAATGCCACAAAACTCATATTTGAGTTAGAAACTTCATTTTAGAGTCTGCGTGTTCCGTAACATAATATATCTAGGAAAAAAGTTCGCAAAAAAGTATAAATTTCTGGTTTTCAGTCCATTTGGTTAGTTAGAACGAACAGAAAGCAGAGAAATCTCATATTTTGCAGTGTCTTGGTTCACGACATTGACACAAGAAATTCCCCTACAATCACGAAATAAAAGCAGAAAATGTAAGAGTTCATATATTCTTCCCTTCTTCACCTCAGTTTCTCAGCAACCAACCAAAAAAATATGAAGAAAATCTTCCAAGTAACCATTTTCTAAGACTCCATGTATATTAATCCAAACTAAAACCAAACGTTTGTGAGCGCGAAAGCAATTAGGGCTTGAAATTGAGAATCGAATTAATCTGTGTAGAGAGAAATTAATTACCTCATCTTCGATGTCTTTGATTTTCTGCATCACAGTCGCCATTGTTGAAGGAGGAGGAGAGCTTCTCGATCTCGAAGTACGGACGTTGATAGATTGGCTTTCGAAAGAGAAAGAAGATAGGAACGGAGTGACGAATATTTTATATAGACACGTATATATAGTATCATTATATCAACAATGCAATTGGGTTTGCGAACAGAGGCGGCAATCTTGTGGGTAAAGCCCAACAGTTTCCCATCCATACCCACTTAAATAGGGTTTTACCTTTTCCAATTTTTATTTTTTCTCTTTTTAATTTTGATTCTGATTTAATTTTTATTTTTTAACAATTTAAGGAAAAGTATTGAAGCTAATAAATATTTAATCCTCTGCTGTCTTTTTTCCTGCCCCTGTAGTCCACATTCTCGAGGCCACCTATTTTGTAGTTATGCTATAAGAGGAAGGTCCATTTTAACGATAGAAATGGTTTTTTCGGTTATTTTTAATGGAGCAAACTTTTTATTTAAAAAATAAATAAAATAAATAAATAACAATTGATAAGTCATTAACACAATCCCTAAACAAAACAAAAGGCTAAACTCATCAAACAAAGCAAAAACCCCTCTTCTATCGTCCAAAGAATCCTAAACTCAAGGGGAGACAGAACCTTGAAATTGGAAGCTTTAGGGAAGAAGAATGTCCAATTTCACAACAAGGGTTGTTTAAATCTTTGTTTGCTATATCAACTTCAGCAACCCACAAATCCTAAATTCAAGCAAGAGTTTCGAATAAAGAGCAACAAAACCATAAAGCAAGATTTTAGGAAGAAAAAAAAAAAAAGGTCCAAATTTGTAACAAGATTACAGGTGAGTCCCTTCTAACATTGTTTATGTTTAATTTTATTTAATCAAATTTAATTAGATTTTTGATGCATATCATAAGCATACAAAAGTGTGTTCGTATGTATATATACTCTCCTCTAGTGTAACCTTAAAATCTTGGCGCATTAGTTTATTAGTTCTGCTATTTAAAACAAAATTCTAACTGACCACATTTGATCCAATTTTCAATGATATAAAACATAAGTCTCTTTTAGCCCAAAATATGTATCACTATCACAAGATCATAGCCCACTGAAGTCTAGGATAATGTCCCCATTGTGATTACCATCTATGTCCACCATGCACCATGTCATACCCTCTCTAATCTTTTCCTATGTCCTACTAAAAAGCCATCTCCTATAAAGATTTTTCCCTTCGTATGGCATACCTTAAATAAATTCATCCACATTTCCTGAAATTGCAATTTATCAGTGTTCATCTATTTCCATTTGGACCTGGATGCATTAACACTAATTATAATAAATATATTTTCTCGCATTATAAATTATAAATCTTATGGGAAAAAAACCCTTAATGTAGTATTTAACTTAGAATCATTGGTTGGATGGCTTGAGCGGAATTATCAATATTAGTAGTATTTAACTTATAATCATTGGTTGGATGGCCATTAAAGAAATCATATGCCAACTGCTTTGGTGGCTGATTTCGTCCCATATAGATGTATCGAATAAATAAGATCATAGCAAGAGCTATAATCAACACACCTCCTGACCACTTCTTCATCTTAAAAAACTTCTTGAATCTCAAATATTATGTATAACAAACTGTTCTCTCTTCAATTGTATAACTAACAAATAAGCATAGCATGTAATAAATCCAATGATTTATCATTTTCCGCAATCATCTTCTTTTTTCTAGTCTAAATACAGATAATCCCTGCCATGATATTTCTTCAAAAATTTAAAAGAAAATCACAATGTTCATAACCCATAAGTAACCAAGCAAAAGGAAGTAAGAAAATGCTAATTTTTTTTCTACATCACACACACACACACACACACACACACACACACATATAAACACAAATAAAAGCATGGACATAATTAGGAATATTCTGAAAAATCATAAATGCACAAAATACATAAACACACACACACATATATATAAAGCATGGACATAATTAGGAATATTCTGAAAAATCATAAATGCATAAAATACATAAATATAGTTAAGGTTAACCTGAAAGCATAGAACTTTGCAATTATTCAAAAGCTAAATCACTAGGATTACAGTAAAGATTCTTCCAAGTCTATGCAATGTCTTCATTTGCATAGATGTTGAAAGTACTTCTCTTAGCTTTTGGAAGCAAAATCTTTGTAGAAAGCAAAAAATAATAAATAAAAAAGTTTTGCTTTGAAAAAGTAAAGAATTGTGTTTGACAATTACACTACCATTTATTAGTAACATTTCACCACCATTTATAAGTAACATCATAGGAGTCTAAAAAGTAATATCACCATTTGTAAAAGGATAACATCACCACTTAGCTAATATATAAGTATATATATATGTATATGTATATATATATACAAGAACGCTTTGAGACTAATGTACTGAATATATATAACATCACCATGTTTAATTGAGTTAGATTTATGTGTGATTATTAGTTTTTCAGCACTATGTGAATACCTTTTTTTGATGGTGAAGGTGGTGAGTGTGACAATAAATATTAAACTTTACCAAATTTGCTCTTTTGATGGTCAAGGTGGTGAGTGTGGCAATTAATATTAAACTTTGCCAGAAAAATTTCAAAGATATGTTAAATAATTTATACCTAAGTGTATGTTTTTTTTAATATTCAGAAGAAAAAATAAAAGATATGGCTCGTTTCATTATTTTTTGAAACATCAAGTGTTTTGTTTGTTGTCTAAAGTTAATCCAAGTGACTTTAATTTTGGTTTAAATTCTTTAAATTAACATATTAAAGTATTTTTAAGACATTACTTAAGTGGTGATGTTACCCTCTTACAAATGGTGATGTTACTTTTTAGACTCCTATGATGTTACCTATAAATAATGGTGAAATGTTACTTATAAATGATGGTGTAATTGCCAAACGCGGTCTCAAGAGCTGTTAAATGAAGAAAGACGTGGCCAAATATAGACCACTTAGGAGCTCACTGCAGAGGACCGCATGGGAATCCACTTATGAGGATTCGCGCTCTATTTCAGGGCATAACATGGCAACCTCACTTCAGAGGATTTGTGCCATGTCCATTTGTGTTTAAGAGGGGAGAAAATCCTCTAAAGTGACTTTGTCATGCTGTCCCATATATGCGCTGCACAATTACTTGGCTTATATTTGGCCACGTCCTAATTTGTTTAAGTGTCATTGGGACTGTGTTTGGATGCGAAAATTCCACAAAGTAACTTACTCCCTCACCACCATCTTCACCTTCAAAACAAGATATTCACATTAAATTGACTAAATAATATCACACATAAATGTAACTCATTTCAACATATTATTTATGTTATTATTTGAAATTAAATTTTACCACAAAAAAATAGAGCATAATAAAAATCATTGCCATACGTTAATTTAAAGAGTTTCATTCCAAGGTTAATGTCGCTTGGGCTAACTTTAGAAAATATACAAAATACACGATGTTTAGCAGGATAATGAAAATAGTCATAGCCTTTTTTTTATTTTTTATTCCCATGTATCAAAACAAATAATAAATTTAGTTATTCTCTAAAAATGAATCATGGAATTTTGTTATAGTGTTCGCATTACTTTCGTACCAAACAAAATACTTTATATTTAAAAAAATAATAAAAAGAATCACATCTTTTCTTTTCTTTTTTTTCTTTCTTCCAAATATTAAAAAAGCAATTACACAAAAGTGAAAATTGTTGACAGTTAAATATCTCATAATCCCTTTCAAAATCCTCTCTAAATTAACATGTGAGTGTGTTTTTTTGGATGCTTTTTTTATATGATAAAATTTAACTTTTAACTTTAAATAAAATATAAATAATATAATCTTTTAAGCTTGTAACTTTTAACTTTTTAGCTTATAAATTTATTTAAAGTCTTTTTATGATATCTGTTTTATAAGTACAACTTCTCATTATGAACTCATAAACTAGGAACATCAAATGGGAAGGATTAAGCATGTGGCCAAGCACGCTGAAAAAAAGAAAAAAAAATGCAGCGAAAGCCAAAGGAGATGAACAAAAAAAAAAAATGTGGTCAAATGCGGTCTAAAAAGGTAGACTGATGTGTCCAAACGCGATGGAAAAAGAATTGCTTTGGATAGTGAAAGTAATTCTGATGATTCGTCATACTCTCCTTTTGCCAGTTCTCTATCTCAATCATCAAGTAGTACCGATGAGATTGAAGGTGGAGCTCATTTAAAGCGTAGAAAGGTTATTTGTGGATCGAGACAGAGTGAGAGTCTGAAAAACAATGTAGGAAATTCAAAATCGAAGCAGAAGGGAGGAACTACAAGCCATCATGGACCTTACTTCTTCAAATTTAGGTATATATTCAAACCCTTAATGACAATGGGATCAAATTATTATAAATTTCATGTATTCTGTCATTATTTAAAAAAATTTCTTTTCCTAATGATAAATAATGTTATTGATATATATTTTTTTATTGAATTTATTGATTTTACTCATACAAAAATTAATTAGAAAGAAATGGAATAAGAAAATATTGAAATGAACCACGATCCACAAAGTTTTAGGACATATCCTAATACTTTAAAAATAAATAAGATAAGTTACTTAAAAAAATACTTACAAAATTGTTTGTGCTAGACTTATTTTGTGGAGTGTGATATTATCAAGTAATGTTATGAAGATCCTTGCTACTGATTTTAACTTCTTCTTTTTTTTTTTTTTTTTTTTTAAATTTTGATTTAATTATATATTTTTTTAAAGTGATGTATTGCACCAATGTTCTTGCCTTAGTTATATATATGTTGATGTATGGAAAACAAGTGGCAATGTAATTAAATAATAAAGTTTAGAAAAATTTAAATGTATTGAATTTTGTAATTATTCATTGTGTTTATAATTTTAGGAAATATTATCAAGATAAGTTCCTTCCAAGGATTGGGGAAAACTTGATTATACACAAATCAGTAAAGATGCCGGAAAGCTTTGGAATAAAAGAGTGAAAGTGAAAAGCAACCTTTCAAGGAGTGGGAAAAGGAACAAGCGGAAAGGAAAAAAAATGCACCAAAACAAGCCCCCAAACAGAAGATATTATGCCATTTTTCCTTCCCTCCTATTATTTTTTAATTATTTGAGGCTCACTCCCT